CGCTCTTCCTTTAATAAGAGCGGCGGAATAATTGAAATGAACAGCGCACAAAAGTCGTGGAAATTTATTGAACAAATCCACGAGGTTGGCGCTTGCCAACATTACGACAAAGAGGCGCTTCCGTACCCCCCCGTGGATCTTTAAAAGGGATGTGTGCGAGTTTGCTCCAACGAAGGGGGGGGGGGGGGGTGGTCTTGCAAACTCAGCCGATTAGCGGCGTCCACAGACGTCTTATTTTCCTTTGCCACTTGATTATTTCTAACCAAGTTCACCCGAACAGTCGGATTACGTGGCGCATGCACCGCACACGCCGTGCCGTGTCAGATCCTGCGAGGGTGGAGGTGGGTGTCAAACCAATTAGAATCACGGGGCCCCACCTCCTTTGGACAGCACTCCGAGTTGGAGGGTGATGACCTTAAACACAGTGGCCCTTGTGTAGTGCGCCCACGGCGACAACGTCATCGTAAGTGCTTTCATTTATCCGTCTGTCCGTTTTTAATTCGCCGTTTGTGTAGCAAGCACGAGCATCTGCCATGTGGGTACTCGATGCACGAGTGTAAAATGTAAGACCCCCTTGCTGTGTGCGACTGTGGTCACCATGGAACATACAACGACTCGATGAAGGGGGCGTCACAGCGAAACACTTCGCTACTCCCGACGCAATTATTTGGCTCAATAACCTCAAATGTTTAGTTGTTCTACAATAAAATTAGCCGTATGAAGGAAAAGATTGACTGACTGACAAACAGCTGATTGTGATGTTGCCGACATATACTTACCGCATAGTATACCGTGCTGCTGTGTTTAAGGTTGTCATCCTCTCCAGCTTAATGTTCTGTCTAAAGGAATTGGCCTGTGGCTGGAATTCGTCTGGCAAGAACACCAGTTGAGTATTTTTTTGTCTTAGAGTCAAGTGAAGACTCAAACTGCAGGAAACCAGGGCCAATGCTATTGGTGACGATCAAACTGTGACCTGTGACTTTGGTAAAAATGTAACAAAATGTTTGACCGTATTAATCTCATTCATTCTTTCCCTTCTCATTCTTCCGATAAATGTTTTTATTAAGAGTTTTTGACGGTTTTGTAAAAATGATAGAAAATTACGTGTGATGTGGGAGACAAATTGAGGCTTGGGGAGCGGGGGGTGGGTTTGGTAGTGGTGACTTTGAATCCGTACCTGTATAGCACGGTTGACGACGTACGGTTGGTGCATAAGAAATTCAACAGACACACATACAACTGTGACATTTCATCGACTTTGTCTAGTGCAAGGGGTTGGCAACCAAATTAACAATAAGAGCCATTTTTCTCGAATTCGGAAAAAAATCTCAATATTTCAAGAGCTGCAAATGCACGGGAATCCGAGACGGGGTGGGTCCTTAGTAAACACCCGCGGCTCTGGAGTCGCACGTTTGCCGACCGCTGGTCCCCAGTAGGTTACAGATGTTGTGGCTGTCCTGCAGATACACCGGTAACTGCCATAGGAGTGTGGATTTCACCCACTGGCCCGGCGAAGAGGCAGGAGCGCCATTAGAGGGCGAGCGGCTTCCCGATGCTTTGTCTGACCCCACGGCAAACGTCTCGAGGCTTCGGGCACACGCCTTGCTCCCACCGCTGCCCCTCCCTCCCCCCCACACGGTGTCCCACGTCGGAAAAACGCCGTCAGCTTTAATGAATGCGGTAGGGGGATTTAAATAAAGAATCTCATTAGGCGACGGAGTTGAGGACGAAAGATAGTCTGGACCTCAATTGATTGACTAAATGGGGACGCAAATGTCAGTTTGGCCATTGTGCACGGCTGTGGCGTTTCACCCGAATGTATTATTTTTACGCTTGTTTTTTCTGTCAGTTTCTTCTTACAAGAAAAAAAACACTCCCTCGCTTTCGCCGTGCTGCACGTCTTCAAAATGGAGGGCTCCTTGAAGCGCGCAGGTGGCGGTGGTTGACAGTTTCTACCATGAGTGAAGCTTTTCTAAGTTTCTCCTCACTTTGGCCACAACTTCCATCAGTGGGCTTCGCATGAGACCACCGGCCAAGCCGTGGTGATTATTGAACAGTTTGCAGTGGTGAAGGGTGCTTTTTTGTTTCTTTGCCATTTTATACAATTGTGTGGGAAGCTCACAGTGATAAAAAAACCTCATTGGGTCTCGAAATATTGTCAGGAGGTGTTTGCTTGGCACGGTTGGTTGCGTACGAAGTTCAACTTTACCGTTTCTCTTTATTTCTATTGTACACCCATATATATTGTTTGTTTGTGTGTGGGAGAAAAACGAAAGTGGTTCTGCAGAAAAGAGCAATCTATTTGCTGTTACCAACTTACATGTCTGATTTATTCCCCAAGTCATGTGCTTACACTGGTTGCATCAGGTTTGTTTTATAACCTGTCTGCATTTAATGCCTTTGCATGTGGTATTGTGGGATAAGCTGAAGTGAGGAGCTACGACCCCGACGATCCGAGTTCCATTCCCGCTCACGGCCAACACCAGTGATGATTATCTTAACCGGTCGGCCTAGGATCTAGGGCCTTCCCTAGGTCGACTCAGCCTCAAACGGATACCTGGTGCGATGTGTAACATCGCCACTAGGGAGACAAAGGCGGCCGGGCGTGGTGTTGGCAGCCCACTTCCTCGTGTGGCGTGCCGGCCTTCATACGTGCTCGCTAACAACACTTGCCCCAACAGTCTGTTGACGCTCTTTGGTTAATCTTTGTTTTTGTAAGCTGAAGTGTGAACATCAAGCTTGTGTGCATATGCAGTCAAAGGTCAAAATACCTTAGGAAGGATTTCTCCCCCCCCTCCCATTTTTTTCACTTTCATCGCTCATATGAGGGTGCTAATCTATCCATTGTCTGTGTTTATCCCGAGTGTATTGGTGGTGCAGTGATTGGCATGCTGTGATACGAACACAGCGTTCCGAGTTAAATTCTCGGTGAATTACGGTCAAACAATCCACATGAATTACCACGCTATGTGGAGGCCTTCACGCAGCAGTTTATTGACAAAGAGCTAATGCTTATATTTGTGTTGTTGCTAACTTACAATCATTCCAAACACATGGCAGGACTTCTCTTTGACCGCAGAGTTCTATTTCATTGTGCACGGCAAATTTATCACGGCATTGGGAAGTGGAATAATTTAGCGCACAGCTCGGTAATTGGCTAATGCGGACCCTTTGTACTGCAAACCAGCCATCCTATTAAAGATGCTGACACCAACATCTTTTGGGCCCGGCTTGCATCTCACAACACACAATGTACATGAATGCAAATGTCTCTTTTTAAAAAATTTCCGGTTCCCGAATGGATTACACCCACACTCCTTTTTTTTTATCACCTCCATTAATTCTCTCTTTTTTCCCAGCACTACACCCTAACCGTATTTATTGTAATAGTTTTCCTAAGCCAGCGCTTGCAAATCAGCGTCGGGCACGCGTTCGCGTGTCCCGCAGCGCCGCACTTCCTCGCTCAAAACTGGGGCACGGCGAACGGTGGGGTCATCGGTGCCGTTGCGAGCACACGCGTTTCCTCGTCCCCCCAACTTGGGATCCCGCTCCCAAGAGGCTCTTCCGTTTGGCGTGTGCGGCCGGGGCGAGCGGGCTGGCGGGCGGGCGGGTGAGCTAACCAGAAAAATATTCCAGCGTCTTGAGGCTCTGCCAACAATCGACGCGCTCGCTTTGTCCTGGCCTCGGCGGCGGCCGGGGTGCGGCCAGCACGTGCGATGTTGCGGGCGGGGGTGGGCTACGTCCTGGCGCCATGGCTCGGTGTGCAGCGCAGGCCGAGCGTTGCTGCTGGCGCATCCGTAACTGTCAGCGTGGGTAATGCCGGCGTGGCCTGGCCAAAGTGCAGCGCTCCGCCAATCACCGCCGCCGCTGCACCGTGGCGATGGGAGGCGGGGGGCATACATGAATGCGTATGAGGGCCTTCGCCAGCCGGTTTGTGCGCTACGATGCCAATAACGGCTAAATCCGAGAATGTCAACGCGTCAGGCTCGCGTCTGAAATACGCCGCCCGTCACGTGATAACTGTGTTGTGCTTTTCAAAAAGACGATTTGAAAATGCCTTCAAAGATCGCGACGCGTTTGTGCTTGCAACAGACGGTGTCGAATTTTTAAGAAAAAAATTTGCCTCTCCCCCCCTTATCTGGAGATGATTGGCACCCCCTTTTTAATGAGCAATGTAGAACGAACTCGATAGAAGCTTGAAAGAATACTCGTGCGGTGCATTGCTTTTGCTGACAAGCCTTCAGCGGGATATTATGGGAAAGAATTATGCGGCTTCAATTCACGATTTCACCCGTCAGGTTGAAGGGTACGTTTTTGAATGTCTGTTTAAGCAATGGATATTTTAAAACTGTAGCTGAATTGTCAAGAGGCAAGGCCCTCTCAAGGTCCTCCCAAAAATGATGAGGTGAAAAAATGCCATCATTAGCCTCTTTCGCTGCAAGTGAATTCTCTGGTGGCGGAGATTTGTATTCCAAGTGCCGTGAATAAAGATCGCACGGAAAACAAAAGCTCAACCCACGTTTCATAACGAGGGCCAATTTTATCATGTAAATTGGCACAGCTCCCAACACAATTCTCAATCACAGCGATTATGATCCAGGGTCTGGGATGGGTTTCACGTCCAAGAACGGAGTGCTTTTTATGTTTTTAACATGGTTAAGAGTTGAGGGATGTTGACAGGTTTGCTTCGTAGGAACACAATATCTTCCTCATCTCACTGTCGGCTTATCCCCTGTTAAGGACACCAGCCTGTTTCAGCCATACCACTCCACTTGCACCTGGAGTTCACCGACCGCTGCACAAATAGAAGATAATAGCACGAGTTAGCAAATGTACCAATTCGCAAATGACGCAATTAATAATTTAATGAACAAATTAATGAATGAAGAAATACATTAACAAACGATTAAATTCATTTAAAAACTAATGAATGAATGTACGATTGAATGTCTAGCGATGTGGACATTGCCTCACGTCCTGCTGTGCCCCCCCCCCCACAGGAGACACGTCGAGCGAGGCCAGCTCCTTCACCTGCGACTCGGGCACCAACGCCACGCGGGACAGCGTCTCCACGGTGACGCGGGACAGCGTCTCCACGGTGACGCAGGGCAGCGAGAGCCAGGCCTTCGCTCCCCGCGGGCCGGAGAGCGAAAGCTGGTGACAGAAAGGAGGAGGACGAGGGGGAGGATTACGACGAGGAAGCGGGCGCATCGCTGTCGGCCTTAGCGGCCGCGGCGGCATTGGCCGCGAGCATCGGGGCGGTCGGCAAGGCGGCGCGGGACGCGGACGGGGACGACAACAGCGACCGGAGCGAGTCGGGGGCGAGCGGATCCTCCTTCGAAGAGATCACCGGAGAGGAGGACGGCGACAAGACGGAGGCGCGAGCCAAACCCGCGACCCCGCAGAAGGACACCGCAACGGAGCCTCCCGAGCTGCCGGAGGTGCTGGCTGAGCTGTAGGAGCGTTCTCGCCTGCTCGCCTGCTCGCTCGCTCGCTCGCTCGCAACGAGCACATGCGCACACACACGCACACGCACGCGCGCGCACGTATCTCCATCGCAGTTAATTTTCGCAGGGGACGAGTTAGAAAATTGTAGTGCGTATACCTGCTTTTTATTGTTTAAACGAAACTGCAAAATACATTTTTTGTCAGTCTTATTTGCCCAGCGAGTGAGGGTCTTGCTTACAATGATGTTGATGTGCCAGCAAGGGATCCTAAACAAGTTCCTAACAAGGGATACTATGCTCACACAGTGTCTCTTAGAGATTTCAACTTTGAGATCTATAAGAGACACAGAATAATACCTTTCAATTTATGGGGTTAATGTAACAAAACATCAATAAACCCTTTCCCGTTCCAAGACGTCTGCAAGTTGCAGGGTGGGTCCCGCTCACCGCTGAATCTCGGAACGTGCAAGCGGTTAGCGTTAATTTTTTTTAGAGAGGCAAAGCGCCATTGTTTTTAAAGACACTGTACTCACCGCAGAGAACTGTAGCAACTCGACCGCACTCAATGATAGCTGGCCCCAAACTGTGCCACACACCCTCCTGCATGGCCTTGTGGAAGCCCTCGGTACCCATAAAGTTATTTTATTTTTTATTCTGAAAAAAAAAATGATGACGTTCAGGTACGTCATCGGAATGGGAGATGGTTAATGACTTACCATGCTCGGCCGTCCGGCATCATTATTCCACATTTTTACTTGGTTTCCCACTGTCATTGCAAAAAAATTGTTCGTTTGTTGAAATGATCTGGCATGGGCCTGAACCTTTTGCTTTCTTATCGGACGTTAATGCCGGTGATGGCTTTTGACATTTCCACCTTAGCGGTGGTGTAGCTCGGCTCTGTAGCATCGTCACCCCTGAGGTCCTGTTGAGCATTTTATTCATTTCTCTTCTTTGCTTGCTTTCTTTTGTCATTTCTCAATTCCCACAGCCAGCAGTGGCTGATGGCGTGGGGGGGGGATAAACGACGGCGCGGAAGCGGGCGGCTGTAATATCGGCGGCAGTGCAGAGCGCGAGGACGCGTTGTTTACTCGAGGCGTCTCTGTTGGGTTACGCCCGTCGTGCTGAAATTTGCGAAAGACCTCGCAGCAAACATCGGCACCGTGTCCCCATGGAGCCCAGCCGCAACGCCTTTCCACTGGGCTGCAATGGCTTGACTGGCATAGCCACCTTGGGGGGGACCGCAGTTTTGTGTGACGCACGGCTTTGCCGGCACATGCCTTCGCAAGTCCCACCGTGCCCCTCTTTTCCAATTGGTGGCAAAATTGTTAATTAAGCCGCAAGTGTAACAACATTACCCGCTGCCAAACAATATATATATCAAGGGCCGGCCATTAAGCATGACCTGACATGCAGGTAGCTCCTTCGTCGTATGCACAGATGCCCTAATTAAGTCGTCTCTTGTTTTGGCGATGCTTAAGTTAAAAGTGCTGCCCCTCTGCAAATTCGCAGCCACCCGTTGTTTAATAACTAATAATATTAGAGTGCATTTGATATTTTGCCCAATTCTTATAGCGCTCGGCTATAATGAAGGGGCTGTGTTGTGCAGACACGGTGTGCAGAAGTTTTGCATTAGGGGGCGATGTTGCAACGTGTAATCCAAACTGAGTAATTTGCGGGTAATCTTTGAAATATTGCTAATTTGGACGTTGACACTGACGCACAATGGCTGAGTATATTTGTATGGTAAATACACACCCCAATAATTACCACGGCAGCCTGTCAGATTTGAATCGCGAACCTCTGCAACAAGCGTCGAACACTCTTATTACCTCTGGGCAATGTCACCTCCATATGCCGCCGTTGTTTGTTGTAGGGGTTTCCGTTGTAATTCGGTAGAGAAGCTGTAATACACAGCTTCATGCAGCGCAGCCGATTGGGTTGAAAGCGCTTGTCTTACTGGAGTATGTGATTGGCAGTCGGTCCTCTGTAGAGAACCCACGGTTTAGTCTCTGCAGGTGGGAGGGGCGCGCAAAATTAGGGGACAATTTCATTTCACGCTTCCAAACAACACGAAGAAAAATCATAGCAGAGCTTCAGCTTCCGCGGTCCTGTAATAAACCATCGGATTTGAACGCAGCCTGCGAGTCTGGACACTTTCCAACAGAATGTTCCTGAAAAAAGGAACTATGCGATAGCAGCGCATTCACAATGTTTTGCTTCATCACGGCACGGACAACATCTGTCCTGTTCAGGATTATTAGCAAATTCAAACAGGCGCCGTGCTATAAAAAAGTTGTTATCAGCGTGCAAGCGAGTCGTTTCCAAAATTGCTTTGTACTTTCTCAGGGTTGTTTGGACAATAGCTGGGAATCATTGTTACCATCATCATCATCACAGGTTTTACCATTCTCATTTCACACTCAACTTTGTCTACCCAAGCCACCCTGGCAGATATTACACACCTGCGTTGTCTCAACGAGCTCGCACCGAGTGGATGAAAGTCAATGATGACGAACATCATAATGATTGCACAGGTCACTACACAAGCACAGATTAAAGGTAACGAGTGGAAATATTGAATCTCCTCTTTGTAACCTCAATGGAATCACGCGAGAGCCTTTTCCATAAACTTAACCTGGCGCGTTATTCTCCAATCCGTCGTTTTGCAAATACGAATTTGACCATCTTTTTTTGTTACTGCAGGACTATGGAAACTGCAACTGTTAACGCTGTGCTGCACGCACCGGCTGAGCAATGCCAACTGCAGACACATCGATGATTCCATCGGCAGTGCGGAGGTAACGCGAATGGCTGAGCGAGGATCATGCAGCTGTTCAAGCCACAAAGAAATGAAGACGTTCAGTCTGCACCTCCTTAACACTTCTCCTGTCCGGCGCAACTAATTTGAAAGATACATTACTATTACACTCAGAATGCTTGTGAATTAGTGCCATGTGGCGTGACAAAATTACTAAATGTATGTAAGGTGTAAAAAATACATTATCGTCATCAGCCATGGTCAATCCACTGCTGGACAAAGTCCTCACCAACCTGGCACTACCCAACCACAATTTTAATTGCACCGACACATGAACTGGATTTATCGCTTGGACTCCTCGGCCTGCCGCGTCCTCTCGTATGCGTTCCATTTCACAAATAATGTTAAATAATCATTATTGTCGTGGTCGCTCATTTTAGTTTGTTTAGTGCCGTTTCCTGTTCAGTGTACGTCGAGTATTTTAAATTAGCTCGGTTCACGGCGAGAGGGATTGGAAGGTGACTGACACGTGGGGGGCCCACGTGGTCAAACTTTCCGTTGTATTTCAGGCGGCACAACTCGGAACAGAATCACTTGAATTGCTTTTTTTTTGTTTCTTTTTAGTTTTCTTCGGGTTTTAAAGAAGCGATTAAGCGTCGATAAATGGCATGTTACACGCGAATACATATTTAAGTTAGATTTATTTAATTTGACACTTTTTCAACGTGGCTTTTCAGAGTTATCGATCGACAATGTAGCACGCGCCACCGCTATTCGGGACACTTGAAACCCAGGACTTATGGGGGAGTGTTGCCAGTGTTGGCCACCCACAGAGAGCGGTAGATATGCATGACCACCACGTGGCCCTGGGGTGGCTCAGCAGTGGAAAGAGCATGCAGCTCGCAATCGAAAGTTTGCTAGTTTTGAATCCTGGTTGGGTGTTGACTAAGCTCATCGTTTCACCGAGGCTGAAAAAAATATTACCACTTCGTGGGGAAGTTATCAGTGGTTGGTTGGCCTGTGGAGACACTCAACCCCGCCAAAAGAATATAGACATTCCACCATCGGCTTGGGGCAATAAATGGAAGACGATCACCACCTCAATGCTAAATTCAGTGAGCATTCACTATTATTTATTTGCCCATTGTAGTCCGGTGCCGCTGTTGGGAACTGGGCAACGCACGTCCAGCGATACGGGCGCGATGTTGAAGCAGCGTGTGGGTGCGTGTGGGTGTGTGTGGGTGTTTGTTTATTGAGTTTTAGAGCCAGCTGGCCAGGACTGGGCAAGGAGATAGCCCCCACCCCCCACTCTTCACCCAGGCGACCAGAGAGCACAGACTTAGATATTCCGTCACTCATCACTCCAACAACAATTACACATTGAACAATACTAAAAAAACACAAACAATTAACAAGACGAAAAATGTGAATCACTTTTTTTTTTACTAAAATCTTATCAAAGATTCTCATACTGTCTGGGACACAGGCCCTCCTCACGTGACACAGACCCTCCTCCCGTGACACAGACCCTCCTCACGTGACACAGGCCCTCCTCACGTGACACAGGCCCTCCTCACGTGACACAGACCCTCCTCACGTGACACAGACCCTCCTCACGTGACACAGACCCTCCTCACGTGACACAGACCCTCCTCACGTGACACAGGCCCTCCTCACGTGACACGGGCCCTCCTCACATGACACGGGACCTGCTCACACAACGCAGGCCCTCCTCACGTGACACAGACCCTCCTCCCGTGACACAGGCCCTCCTCACGTGACACAGGCCCTCCTCACGTGACACGGGCCCTCCTCACGTGACCTGCTCACAACGCAGGCCCTCCTCACGTGACACGGGACCTGCTCACACAACGCAGGCCCTCCTCACATGACACGGGACCTGCTCACACAACGCAGGCCCTCCTCACGTGACACGGGACCTGCTCACACAACGCAGGCCCTGCTCTCCTTGGCCAATTTCATTGCGAAGCTCTGCACTGGGCCCCATGCCGACCCCAATGACCTGGATAGCCGTACGGCGCGATGTCAGGCCCATGTGGAAGACATCGATCAGCCGGAGGGATGGGGGTCGAGACGGCAGATGCACATCAATCCGCAAAAAAAAAAATGTAAACCCACTTTCAATTTACAGCGTCTTTGTCATTCCACTGCTGGATGAAGGCCTGCCCATGCTTTATCGGTCATGGTGGTGGTTTGGCTGAGCTTCGCCATGAAGGTCAGTACAGGTTGGTGAAGGGAGTGTAGGTCCCAGGACTGGTTCAGGTATCACTTGACAGCGATGTTCGCCGTGGCCACAAGTTGGAACTCGGGTCGCTGGGTTCACAGTGCAGTCCGCTAGCTGCTACGCCACCACAAACCATAATACAAATATTTAAAAAATTATGACACTTATTTTAACACGGCGTATCAAATGCTTTGTGGCCATGAAAAAGGTGTTATAATTGGCATTCCTTTTATTAAATAGAATCACGATTTATTTGATTCAAAATTATTTAATCTTTGCGCACGCAGCCCATTAAAACGAAGTGGCGCTGCCATGAATATCCAATGGAGGTGATGTTCGCAACGGGATTACATTTGAAAAGGATTATTCAAGCAAGCCGTTCGAGCCAAAACCTGTTGGCATTTAATACGATTCAATAATTAGTCGCTAAATTGCCCTCGGTTTACACACAGGTGTCTGCAGCAGGACGGCACTCTTGAA